ATTTTCATGCAGCATTTCATATCAGAACCGATTTTTTATTATATTTAATTTCTCAAATTAAAAGAATAAGTTTTTACTGCTTTAAAGGTAGGGTTAATTTGATATAAAAATGATCGTTTTTAATTTAAAAAAGATTAATTTGAAGTTAAAAAGGTTAATGTCTACTAAAAAAAATTATTTTAAAATTTAAAATAAGAGTTAATTTGAAGTTTATAAAAGTTAATTTGAAGTTTGAAAAGATTAATTTGATATTAAAAAGCGTTCATTTGAACTTAAAAAAGGGTTAATTTGCACGTATAAAAGGTAAATTTCATATTAAAAAAGGTGAATATTAAGTAAAACAGGGTTAATTTGATGTTTATAGGGTTAATATGAACATAAAAAGGGTTGTTAATTTTAACTTGAAAAACGGTTAATTTAAACTAAAAAGGGTTCATTTGAACTTAAAAGTCTACTTAGAAATAAAAAAGTGTTAATTTAAAGTTAAAAAGAGTTAATTTGAAATATAAAAAGTTTAAGTTGATATGTTAAGTATTTGGAGATCGTGAGATGCGGTCTGGTGTGGCGTAGGTTTTAGAAAAACTTTTCTTTATCGTGCCAACGTTTCGATTTTTATCGAGATCATCTTCAGAGCCTAGGATTTATAAACATTGTTTAAATTTTACAAATATATGTAGAATGTGGAAAAAATGAATTTATACAATGCTAGAAATTTTAAATTCAATCAACGTATTTGTACTCACTCAAAGTGTTTGTGTTCTGTGTAGATGTGTCATTCTTGTGTGTCGTGTTGAGAGTGCCAGTGAGATATTGTTTTATGTTTATATATGTTGGATTTTGAAGAGGTGGGGAAGGATAAAACGTTGGCACGATAAAGAAAATGTTTTTCTAAAACCTACATCACACCAGATCGCATCTCACGATCTCCAAATAATCATCGGCTAACGCTCACTAAACACCACACATGATCATTTTCTTCTGATTATGCACGCTGATTTCATCTGTCAGACGGGTTTTGTCTTCTCGCCAACTTCATTGCTAGGTCCGTGTGATTTCTCTGTAGTCCACTCTTTTTTTATAAGTGCGTGAAAAAGGAAGTGTGACGATGTTGTCTCTGCCAGTCGATGTCTTTTACTTTTAATTGTACATATGGTTTAAAAGGTTGTATCTATATGAATGTATTTATTTGCGTGAAAGTAAGACGTCGAGGATACAAACACTATCCCGGCCTTCCAACTGTATTTATTATGCAATTTTCATTTTAGTTTTATGGTTCAATCGTCAGTGGTATTTCTAGTACTCTGACTCATCTGAGTATTTCGTCATTAGTAATCATTTTGGTTTGCTTACTCTCGCTGTTTTGATCTGGTAGACATGTTCTGCCTTCTCGCCAATTCAGTGGTATGTCTATGAGATTTCTGTTTAGTCCAGTTTCCTTTAATAAGTGCGTGAAAGTTTGCCGATGTCTCTCGGCCTAATTTTTAATTGTACATATGGGTTGAAAGATTCTACCTGTATGACTGTATTTATTTGCGTGAATGCCGGGAGGATGTCGAGGATACGAACACCCCGCCGCCCTCCCAAATTTATTTGTTATGTAATTGTCATATTATTTTTATGGGTCAATCTTCAGTGGTATTTCTAGTACACTGGTTCCTTTTCGTAAGCGATCATTTTCGTTTGCCTAATTTTGTTTTGGCTGTTTGGTGGTCAATGTCATAAAATGATCGGAAACGGTCAAACTGCAGGTTTATCACCTCTTCAATCCCAAGTGGATTGTTCTACGATTTAATGACTAATCATCGTTCCGTTTTTTTTCCAATAGTATTTTTTATCTGTCAAAATCGATATGCAATTTACTAATAACACAGTATCAAATGACATGTAATGTTTGGCTTGTTCATGGTGAAGCTAAACAAACTCATTACAAATCGGAAATCCGGATCTCTGATATTAACAATAGCGGAAATAGACTTAATAAGGCCAGGGGTTAACAATAAAACCAGTAGGTCAAGCGAGAGCAGCAGCGCTAGGACTATGGGTGTATTATACTCGGGACGGTTCATAAAAGTCAATGTGTGAGTCGTTATGCTAACAAAGGATGGGTTGGTGGGTGCAATATGTGGGCTACCCTTTCCAGACATGTGTACAGAACTCGCCAAGTTCGGAATTAGAGGATTTCCAGCTTTAACTTGTTGGCTAAAACCAAAATTGGATCAGTCGCTACGTATTGAATGATAAATTTCATGGTTGTTTTATGCAGCAGACAATTTTTTATAACCTGCAATTTCTTCAAAACTGGGTAGTTCTTACCAACAATAACATTTTTTTAAAGATTATTCGGAAATCGTGAGATGCGGACTGGTGTGATGTAGGTTTCAGAAATATTTGTTAAATTTAAACAATGTTTGTAAATCCCAGGCCCTGAAGATGATCTCAATAAAGATCGAAACGTTGGCACGATAAAGAAAATGTTTTTCTGAAACCTACACCAGACCACATCTCACGATTTCCGAATAATCATCGACTAACGGTCACTAATTTTTTTAAAGCTCAACTCACAAGATTGCCTTTACCGGGCTCGTAAAAAACACATAAAATCACCGTTGAAGATTGCGAGAAGCCGAATCGCATCGGACAGACTGGATACACTGCGAGGTTATTTGGTCATTTCCCATAATTTTGAACTGTCAGAGGCGTTTAACATTCCCGCCATCCTCAGAAAGAGCTCGGAATAATTCCGAGCCAGGATAGTTTTGTTCTTTCATATGATTTGTAGTTAAATATTTAAATAACGCATAAAACCCTAGCTGAAGGAGGCGAGAAGGCGAAACTGGTCTGACCAAAATGATCGGAAACGGTTTATCACCCCTCATAAATCAAGGGGTGCTCAATTTTATATTAAAGTTAGCAATAATTATCAGACCTTTGTGAATATATTTGAAAGTCTATGAGAGGGTTACACAAGGGTTAAAAATCTTGTAGTTTAATCGTTTCCGATCGTGAAGTTCTGGCAGACGGATTTCGGTTTCCCTTTATCCTAAGTGAAGATTCTTAATGATTTTTGACTAAGATAGTGTTTGTTCTTTTATCTGGCTTATCCTAAATAGAGAAATAAATATAAAACCCCTACTGAACATTGCGAGAAACCGAACGTTTCTGATAGAACAAAATGACGGGAAATGGCCAAATTACGGGTTTATCCCCCACATACCTTAGGGGGTTGATCAATTTTAAATTAAAGTTAGCAATAAATGTCAGATTTTTTAAATAAATTTTAAGGTTTCTGAGAAAAGTGTGCAAAACAATTGCAGTCATAATATACTTTTAGTTTGGTCGTTTTCGATCCTAGCGATCTGAGGGACGCGTTTCGGCTTCTCGTCATTCTCAGTAGAAACTCAGAATAATTCTTGATCCAAGACAATTTTTGTTCTTTTATTTAGCTTGTGGTTAAATAATTAAAAAGCGCAGAAAACCCCCAATGAAGAAGGGAAAAATCAGAAACGTGTCTGACGGGCCAAAATGATCGGAAACGACCAATAAACAGATTCATCCCCTTTATCCCTCAAGTTGTTCTATTTTAAATTAAATAATCAATAAACGTTCGATTTTTTAAATATATTTCAAACTCTCTGATAGAAACGCTCAAAGAATTGCAGTCGAAATATACTGCTAGTTTGGTCGTTTTCTATCCTAGTTCGGCTTCGGCGTCCTCAGTGAGTGTCCTTAATCATTGTCGAGCAAGCTAGTGTCTGTTGTTTTATCTGGTATGTGATTAATTAATTAAATAACGCTATCATCAGTGGAAGCTCTGAATGTTACCCGAGGAAGATTGCACGAAGGGCATTGTCAGTCAAGGAACTGTAAGAAACAGAAAAAAGTTTACAAATATAATAAAAATATTTACATTAAATTCACTAATTTCGTGGTCCGCTTGACCAATTAATTACAATAAATTAAGGTTTTTGGTTGAGATAAAAAAGTCAATGGCACGAGCGGGATTCGAACCCACGATCTTCGGCTTGATACGCCGCTGCTTTACCACTTGAGCTATCGTGACCTGGATCCACTCGGACACTAACTTCCCATCTCAACCCCACCTTTTGAATTTTCCCTCCTTTTTGCCATTTTTCAAATGTCGTGTAATCGGATTGGATTCTCGACGACAAATGAAATGGCCACGGAGAGCTTTAGTGAAGTATACTTAATTTTAAATCATTAAATTCACTAATTTCGTGGTCCGCTTGACCAATTAATATATTACAATTAATTAAGGTTTTTGGTTGAGATAAAAATTGGTCAGTCAACGGCGTATTTAGCTGAAGGTCGTGCGTTCGAATCCCACTAGTGACGCTGACTTTTTTATCTCAACCAATATCTTACATAAGGAGTAATTAATTGAAAGATGTTATTTGCTCAATCGGACCACCAAATCTAATGAATTTAATATCGTACAAAAGTTTCGAAATATTTTAATGTATTTGTAGTCTCTCTGATAGTTGATTTAACTCGGATTTATTTTAATCCGGATTAATTTAATCCGTGAACTTGACATTTGAATAAATACAGGATTTAAAAGGAAAAAGTAGGTAACAAACAAAAGGGTCAGCCCAAACACAAATGATAATTGCATTTGAATAATTAACCAGCCAGTCTGGAGTGATCCACGCTAAGCTATTTAGACGAGGTAATGATGTAGAAAAATTTCTGGAATTAATTCATACACCTCCTCCTCTCTCTTCCCCTACCGACCAGAGGGATAAGGTAGTTAACATAATTACTCAATTAATTTCTTGGGACTGAACGCCTCACTCTGATTTCGTATTCAAAATAAATTATGAGCCTCCATAATGGTCGACCCTGAAGTTGTATGTAGTTAACTCATTGAATTTTCAAAGGGCGTTCCAGTTCAGAAACATCGATTTAATTTAAAGCGTCTTTTTGATGAGGACGAACGATTTGAATTTATCAATATAACAATTTTGTTGTTTTTGTTTCAGGCGAGCCTAGGCCCACCGTGTCGTGGTTCGTGAACGAAAAACTCGTCGAGGCGAGCGACTACACGGAAGGCAACAACCTCGTCATCAACAAGCTGACTGTGCCCAGTCTCAAACGTCACCACCTAAACACAACCTACAAGTGTCAAGCCAGTAACACTAAGTTAATGACGCCGACAGAGAAGACTGTCAGGCTGGAAATGTTCCGTAAGTTTCCAACCATGTGTGTCACTCTCCAACTTATAAAAATTTCAGATTTATTTTCTATTTTTATAACACTTCCAGAATCAGATAAATTTTTCCTTTTTGCAAATAAAGGTTACGGTAAAAAATTTGTGTTTATAATTTAAACAAAGAATTGTGCGCACAGAAAATTAATTCAATTGTCAATAAAAATAGTCAATTCAATTGTTTGTTGTTTGAGTAAAAATATAGCTTTTCTCGAGCAAATTAACTTTTTTAAATCTTCAAATCAACACATTCCTTAAAGCATTAAAAAAAAGGTCGAAGGCGGTATGAAATATAAGGTCAGTAAAATTTTCTCTTAGAACATCATATTAAAATCAATTACTATTAATAGTAGATAGTGCGTTGACTTTCTCCATCGTGGACCCCACCTTGTATAAGACAATGAACTGCCTGTGGGTTAACCGTGTATGGCCAATTCTCGGGCGGTTTTTAAAGATTCTTTCTATTCTTTTCTTTTTTTATTCATAGATATCAAAGTAACCTTTTTTTAACTTCAAATTAACTCCTTTTTATGTTTAAAATGTAACCGTTTTTGAAGTTCAATTTAACACTTTTTTATGATCAAATTAACCTTTTGTAATTTTAAATTAACTTTTTATTAAAAGTAGCTCTTTTTAAGTTCAAATTAATCCTTTTTAAACTTCAAATTAACAATTTTTTAATTCAAATTAACCCTTTTTAAGTTTTTCTTAACTCTATTAACTTCAAAATAAACCTGTTTTACTTAATAATAACCTTTTTTAACATCAAATTTACATTTTTTAAATTAACCCTTTTTGGCTCAAATTAATCGGTTTTTTAATTTCGAAGTAACCTTTCTTTGTGTTTAAATTAACCCTATTTCCGTTAATATTAACCCTTTTTAACTTCAAATTTACCTTTTTTAAGTTCAAATTAATCCTTTTTTTATGTTTGAATTAACCTTTTTTAGTTTCAAATTAAACATTTTTTATTTCAAAGCAGCCTTTTTAAGTTCAAATTAACTCATTTTTTGAATTCAAATAAACCCACTTTTTAAGTTCAAATTAATCCTTCTTGAAGTTCAAATTACCCCGTTTCTGTTGATATTAACTCTTTTTAACGTCAAATTTGCCATCTTTACGTTCAAATTCATCCTTTTTTATGTTTAATTTAACCTTTTTTAGTTTGCAAATTAAACATTTTTTATTTCAAAGCAAACTTTTTTAAATTCAAATTATCGGGTTGTCCGGAAAATAATGCAGGATTTTAAGTTTTCATTAAAAAAAATCTATATAAAATATTCTGTTTACGTTTACAGGATTACTCATTTGTATGAATGTCAACACTTATTAATCCTCTTCCAAATGATATTGTTTGTTTACCTCTGTAGCATTCCGCTACTTGGAAATAATTCAGTCATCCTTATAATGTCAAAGCGAGAATTTCGTACGATTTTCTTTGACGAGTTTAAACTCGGCCGAAGCGGAGCCCAAACGGCTAGAAACATTAACCAAGTCTGGGGCGAGGGTTGTGTTAATGAGTGCACTGTGCAAAGGTGGTTTAAAAAATTTCGGGAGGGAGATTTCAGCCTTGAAGATGAAGAAGGTCGTGGAAGGCCTTCCTCTCTTAATGATGATGTTCTGCGATCAGTGGTGGAAGAAAACCCCAAAACAACTGTTCGAGAACTTGCAGAGCAACTCAAAGTCAGTAAAACGACCGTCGCTGACCACCTCAAGGCGATTGGAAAAGTGAAAAAACTCGAAAATTGGGTTCCACACTCATTAAACGATCGCCAAAAAAATCAGCGCTTTGATGTTTGTGCATCACTTCTTTGTCGAAACAAAAATGACCCATTTCTGGCCAGAATTGTTACATGTGACGAAAAGTGGATTCTCTACGATAACACTAGACGTTCTGGACAGTGGCTCGACAAAGGAGAAGCTCCAATACATTTTCCAAAGCCCCCAACTCATCAAAAAAAGGTAATGGTTACGGTATGGTGGGCTTCATTTGGTTTAATACACTACAGCTTCTTAAATCCTGGCGAAACCATCAATGCTGAATCATACTGTAACCAAATTAATACCATGCATCAGAAATTGGCAGTAATGAAGCCCTCTTTGGTCAATCGGAAAGGGCCCATTTTGTTGCATGACAACGCTCGACCACATGTGTCACGTGTAACGTCACAAAAATTATTGGAGCTTGGCTATGAAACTTTGCCTCACCCACCCTACTCTCCGGACCTCTCGCCTACTGACTACCATTTTTTTAGACACCTGGACCACTACTTACAACACATAATATTCAAAAATCAAACGGAACTGGAAAATGCATTTATTGACTTTATCAATTCTAAAAATTCTGAATTCTACTCAGACGGAATTAATAAGTTACCAACACGTTGGGAGAAATGTATTGAGAGTATGGGAAATTATTTTGATTAAAGAACATTGCTTTAAAGTAACTAGTTTCTTTTTTTTTGTTTAATACCAAAATCCTGCATTATTTTCCGGACAACCCAATAACTCTTTTTTTAATTCAAATTAACCTTTTTTTAGTTCAAACTACCGCTTTTTATTTCAAATTAACCCTTTTTATCATCAATTTTTATTTCAAAAGAACTCATTTTTTTATTTCAAAGTAATCAGTTTTAAATTTCAATTAACCCTTCTTTAAGTTCAAATTGAGCCTTTTTAAGTTCATATTAACTCTATTAACTTCACATTAACCCGGTTTCACTTGTTATTAACTATTTTTTTAAATTTCAAAGTAACCTTTTTTAATTTAAAATAACTCTTTTTTGATTAAAAAGAACCCTTTTTTCACATAACACCAGGTATATATCGAAGTATTTTTTGTTCCTAAATGTTTATTTACTCTCTTGTTTTTCATTTAAATAATAAAGCACTATTTATTATTATTTTATTAAAATATAATTATGGTTTTTTGCTGTGAATATTGAGAGTACATAATAAGTCACAAGGTTGAATAAAATATTCATAAAACGCAATTAATATGTTTTTTATAGTATACCTTTTTTATTTACTTGTAAATAACCTTATTTTTTATTTATTTGTATTTTTGTAATCAAATTTTTACGTGTATTACATCAACACAAAATATATAAGCTCTGAAATATATGTTTCAAATAATTCTACTCACAAATCAGTATGTTTTGTTATTAATAATAATTAATTATCTTTATAGTTTAATTTTTATTTAAAAAAGTAAGGATAAGGCTGTACGATTTGAAAAAAAAGAAAAACACTCATTTCCTTCATCAAGTTTTTGATGAATACCCCCTTCATCAAGATTTTTAAACTATTATTAATAATTTGTCAGGTTAACAAATGAAAGGTACGGGGGGTAGTCGAGTTTGGTGTTTCACATAGCCTACTAGAATCTTCTATGATCTAGGCTTGGGAATCGAGCTTCTGGATCGGAATTGGAGTTTAAATAAGAATAAAATCAGAATTCTTGATTTTATATTTTATAGAAGTTTCCTTTTTTTCACTTTTGGCCAGATCTGGCCGTCCCACTCTCAAAACCAATTTCATTACCCGGGAGACTCTTTCCGAGGACGCGATTTGAAAGCACTTTTCTTATCTCGGCTATTACAACTCTCTCAATTTCGCTTCTTCTCGGCTTCAGATTATTTTCAATTGCTCATAACACTATGTTGTACATTTCAATTTCGTGAAGGACGTCCGCATGGCTGGGCTCTTTTTTTTGCTTCCGAACTACCGGAGGTAGGGAAGCCTTGTATTCATGCGGGAAGTCGGAACAATTTTTTTCCTACAAAATTAAAATGTGCACTATTATTTTGCGTTTCAGGCGTTTCTGAACAATTTGGTTATATTCCTACATTGACCTTTAATGAGTACTTCTCCAAAATCAAAATTTCCACTCGCATTTTGTGTTTCAGACCTTGCTGAACAAATTTTTTCCCGTGTCAATCTGTCTGTTGTCAATTCTTTGTAACCGGCAAAACTCCAAAACCATGAAACCAATTTATAAAATTTTCAGAGATCGTGCGGATTGGTTTCTAGATGGTCTCCTATGAATTTCATCCCAATCGGTTCAACGGTATTGCCTGTCCATGCGCAAACGTAAAATCGCGTACACAGCTATATCTCTGAAACCATTACACGGATTTTGATCAAATTTGCAGGGATTATGCGAGTGGGTTTCCAGATGATCCCCTGTGACTTTTCCAAACGGATTAACATGCAGAAAACATGGGGAAGTTATACTGGCAGATTTTTTTTGAGTTGGGCCTGGTTGGGATTCATTGAATAAAATTCTGTCACAAATTGTTGTATGAAAAGGAAACATGCCAATAAATAAATTTTCATTTTACAACGTTCCTTCAAATTTATTTTTTAGAAAATAAACATACCTCTATCTTTAGTTAAATTAAATTGAATTATAATTTTTATGTAAAGTGTGGTTGAGATGAGAAATTAGAATCACGAGCAGGACGAACAGAGGTTATGAGGCCCCTAAGTCACCAGGAGAGTGAGTGTAAATTACTCTACAATATGAAGGGTTCTTCTGCGCTCAGATAAACAGGGCTTCACCCTTGAAGGACGAGACAGGGACGACCTATGTCTATGTTCGCGAAAAGCGGCAGATTCATCCGCCATCAGGCTCTACGAAACCGCAGCATTACGGGAAATGAGATAAGAAATCTGATAAGACAACTCTGAAATGTTTCGATTCACTCCAGGACTGTAAGAAGAAAGCTAAATGAAATTAACCTCAGCGCTCGACAACCATCTCGTGAACCTCTTCTTACCACAGCTCAGAACATGGCCAGGCTTCAATACGCAAGAGAACAAGAGAACTGGATATTGGAAGCTTGAGGACCAGTCCACTTTACTGATGAGGTGAGAATTGGCCTCCAATCTTCAGATGGGCTTAATTTCATATGTGACGCTCAGGAGAAAGGTACTCCCCATGCTGTTGGTTCTTCAGGTGGCACTGATGTTCTGTGGTGGCATTTCCTTGGACTGGAGCACCGAATTGGTTGTTGTGCGAGCAAGATATGTAACTACAACACATAATGGAAGAACATGTACTGCCATTTGCCCTCCACATCGGTGGGAGATTCCTGCTAATGCAGGATATCGTAAGGCACCATAGAAAACGTATTGCGGATGACTACCTGAATAAGTTCACTAATTTCGTGGTCTGCTCGACCAATTAATACTTTACAATTAATTAAGGTATTTAGTTGACATGAAAAAAAGTTAATGGCACGAGAGGGATTCGAACCCACGACCTTCGGCTCGATACGCCGCTGCTCTACCACCTGAGCTATCGTGACCTCGATCCACTCGGACATCAACTCCCCATCTCAACCCCACCTTATGAGTTTTCCCTCCTTTTGCCATTTTTCATCTCAACTAAATACCTTAATTAATTGTAAAGTATTAATTGGTCAAGAGGACCACGAAATTAGTGAATTTAATGAATTAAAATGAAGTACACTTCACTAAAGCTCTCCGTCGCCATTTCAATTGTCGTCGAGAATCCAAACCGATTACACGACATTCGAAAAATGGCAAAAAGGAGGGAAAATTCATTTAATTTCTTAATTTCTTCTTAATTAATTGTACCTGAATAAGGTTGAAGTTGAGTGCTTGGTGTGGCCAGCTCGAAGTCCAGCTTTGAACCCAATCGAACACATTTGGGACCAACTATATTTCACACCATCTCATTTTTGTAATGCTTCAAAGAAAAGGTTAATTTGGATTTGAAAATGGGTAATTTGGCGGAAAAAGTTAGAAATTAATTTCGTGCATGAGCTTTAAGATAAAACCCGGGCACGAATATGAATGACCCAGTTGTTTAGAAAAATGAAATAAAAGATTAATGAGAATACTTTTGTAGAAAAGTGTACCGAAACAAATTAAAGAAAAGAACCAGAAGGTAAATTGGAATTTCAATAATCAACATGTAAAAGTCATTTATTACCCACGAATGAAATTAATTAACAACGAATATATTTTCTACCATGAATTGTTCTAATTTGTCGCATTTAACGTTATAACCGATTTGTTGAAATGAAATATTTCAGTTGAATTTCTGAAAATGGCGTAATCGCTCTAACAATAGTATAATTAATTGTGACAATTTTCCATTGTTAAATTTTTTCCTATAAAACTATTTTTTTTGCAAATTATTTTTATATCGTTGTTTAATTATCATTCATGAGAGACACAAGACGTGATGAAAAGTGATTGTTAGCTCAAAAGCGTCATAAGCGCGCCACGTCATTAAAACACCTTTAATTTCTTCATTTTTTTGTTTGCTCGCGAGGTACCAGAGCTTTTCGTTTCTTTCATTATTTCTACCCCTTGTATCTTGGCAGTCGCCATGGCTGGCTGAATTTAGAAAAACACCGAGATGAACCCTTTCAATTAACCTCAAATATATTCTCGTCAATCCAGTCAATACCCAGGCTATATTAGACTTTTATTGTTACTTTACAAAAAAACGCTCTTCGTAAACACTAATTAATCAATTTTATGAAAAGACCTGAATTAGTCCAATTAAAAAAAAATCCCTTCTAGCTTCATAAAACATGGATCTTTTACCTTAATAATTTTTAATGAAATTTTTCTTCGGATTTTACTTAGAAAATATAGAAAATAAAAGCTGTGCCACTCTCTTCCTAACAGGTTAAAAAGTTTGGAATTTTTTTATTATTTGTGTCAAAAGACATGCCAATCAATTCAATGAAGTAATGCGACGTCAGTCTATATGCAGGGTGTAGCATGAACGTTGTTTTGTAGTATGATTAATTTTTTTTGAAATACTGATGTATGCTGATAGAAGTGTTTTATCTGTTCCAGTGAAGCCATTAGAAGTACACTTGTTGAATAAACGAAGTAGCCTAATTGCGGACCAAGAATACAGCCTGACTTGCCAAAGCAGTGGCTCGAGGCCACAAGCTGAGCTGACCTGGCTGCGAGAAAACAGAAAATTCAGGAGAGGAAAGGTAATTGACGTCAAAACATTTCATAATAAACTGAGAGGCAAAAACAGTGACCTTTAGTACTTTTAATTATCTCTTATAGTTAGACAAACCTCCTTACAACAATATTTGGTCCTTTTTAAAGGATTAGTGGTAAATAAAACACAGACAAAATCTCCCGCTTGTGTTTACATTTGGATTTTGTAAATAAATCTTTGAATGGTCAATCACTTCTTTGTTGGTTTTTCTGTAAAGCTTTTTTATAACATTTATTCGGTTTCGTGGTCCGCTTGACCAAATAAATTTTTTTCAATTAATTATTCTTTTTATGTTGAGGTATTGGTTGAGATAAAAAAGTCAGTGTCACGAGCGGGATTCGAACCCACGACCTTCGGCTAAATACGCCGCTGCTCTACCACTTGAGCTATCGCGACATGGATCCACTCGGACACTAACTTCGAATTTTCCCTCCTTTTTGCCACTTTTCAAATGTCGTGTAATCTATTTGATTCTCGGCGACAAATGAACTAGCCATGGAGAGCTTTAGTGAAGTATACTTTATTCTGCTTATTACATTTATTAGGTTTCGTGGTCCGCTTGACCAAATAAATTCTTTTCAATTAATTAATCTTTAATTAAGGTTTTTTGGTTGAGATAAAAAAAGTCAGTGTCAAAAATGGCAAAAAGGAGGGAAAATTCAAAAGGTTGGGTTGAGATGGGAAGTTGGTGTCCGAGTGGATCGAGGGCACGATAGCTCAAGTGGTAGAGCAGCGGCGTATTTAGCCGAAGGTCGTGGGTTCGAATCCCGCTTGTGACACTGACTTTTTTACCTCAACCAAAAAAACCTTAATCAAAGATTAATTAACTTCTTTATAGCGTTACGGTGGTTTGATTTTTTAAGTTTCAAATTTGTTTGAGCGATGGTTTTAAGAGATACCGATTCGGCTAGAATCATATCATTGTTGGAAGATGCATGTAGTCGTGCGTATGTGGCCAGGGTGCTTAACATTCCCAGAACAGCTGTCCGAAATACTTCCATCTCTAGAGGATACTAAAGGTTATTCGACAAAGGATGGATCAAGTCACCATCGTGTCACATCTTAGAGAGATTTGAAACGTTTTATTGTTTCGAATGTACTTCTTAATCGACATTCTTGCGCTGTGGAGATCAAGTAACGAACTCAACCAGTTAGAAATGTCAATGTCAGTGTTTACGCACCCTATGCCGAAGACTGTCAGAAAATAGATTACGTACTAGAAGGCCTGCCACTGGTCCAGACACAGGACAGGTTGGTTAAGATTCGTAATAATTGGTCTGAAAAAGATTGGGCTAAAATCTTGTTTTCTGATGGGTCAATGTTTTACTTGAGGTCTTATGACGGCGGAAAGAGAGTTTGGAGAAAAACACGAGACCACCATTTTCACACCCTATCGAGGTGGTGGTGTTATGGGTTGGGCACGCATTTCTATGGAAGGTCGCCCAAAATTGATCTTCATCGAGTGTTCCCTAACGAAATACACAATATCGTAAAAAGAAGTCTTTATATTTTTAACGAGCGTCATAGTAACAACCTATAGAATAGAAAAAGAATAGCAATATTATCAAGATAAAATACAATTTTTTATAAATTTTGTCAGGTTTTTATATCAAATATACGGTTATGCTAGCAGGGGCCTTTTACCATGAACAATATAGAAAATAGGAAACAGGGACCTACTTTCAGGATCAATTGAATCAAGGGATCCTTTACAAAGCTTTACGTTTTTACACGTGTATTTCGCTTTGTCGGTTCATTGACTTTGCACTGTACTGGACTCCTTCTGTACGATTTTCTTCCCGGATTAAAAGAAAGTGTCCTAGAAGAACACGCCTTCTTGATATGTTTCCAACCGTAAAACTGTACCAATATAATAGATAAACCATTTTGTCAAAATACACTAAGGCATGTAATAAACATAAAATAAGCGAAACATTCGTAAATCTGGAGTTGTTTTAGCTTAATAATGAAAACAAAACAATTATTATTTTAGTGTTAAATTTTTATTAAAACTTTAAAATAAATAATAAATAAAGAAATAAACGCTCTGCTAGTCTTGCTAAAAGCTAGAAACGCTTCTAAAAAATCATGTTTTTTTTTCTAATATTTTATACACACATATTTTATACCTTTATACAAATATCTTCTCTTTTTCGAAAGTCACTAAAATGGTGATATCTTTAAAACAACTTCACCGATCCAAATTTACAGGTATTTAGAACCCAATAACCACACATAAGAACATACTTAACCTCCTTATATAAATTAAAAGTGGAGATATAAATTAAAAGGTTGAGGTTAGGTTGATTTCACCCTTACTTTTCTTACTTATAATCAAGTAAGAATCGAAATGTTGTTGAACCTGACTAAAATAAGAAAACGTAAGAATTCTTCAAATTGTAAGGACGGTGGCTTTGGAGAAAATCTCGAGGTGTTGAGAATTTTTGAGTAAAATACCGGACAATGGCGAGAAAAAAAATTGCCCGCGAGGAATCCAGCCAAGAAATGTATACTTTTTATTGAAATAAAACTTCGTATTTAAGGGTTTTAAGTTGTGCTTAAAATAAATACGATTTTTTTAAACAAAATTATTTTTGGTATTTTTTGATAGAAGCTTGTTTGGTTTTTCCTGCTTATATGTGTGAACTCTCATTCAGTCTGCCTTTCTATCTTTTTTTATCTTTCGCTCTCTCTCTCTCTCTCTCTCTCTCTCTCTCTCCTTCTCCTTCTCTCTCTCCCTCTCCTTCTCTCTTTCTCACTCTGGTTTTTATTCTTTATATCTCATTCTGGTTCGTTCTCCATTTTGTTCTTTTACTCTCCCTTTCACTTTATTCTATATCTCCCATTCTCTCTCTCACACACTCTCTCTCCCTCTCTCTTACCCTCTCTCTCCCTCTCCCTCTCTCTTTCTCACTCTGGTTTTTATTCTTTATGTCTCATTCTGGTTCGTTCTCCCTTTTGTTCTTTCACTGTCCCTTTCACTCTCTTCTATATCTCCCATTCTCTCTCTCCCATTCTCTCTCTCTCTCTCCCTCTCTCTCTCCCTCGCCCTCGCCCTCTCCCTCTCTCTTTCTCACTTTGGTTTTTATTTTTTATGGCTCATTTTGGTTCGTTCTCTCTTTTATTCTTTCACTCTCACTAGTTCACTCTCCCTTTCACTCTCTTCTATATCTCTCATTCTCTCTCTCACTCTCTCTCTCTCTTTCTCTCTTTCTCACTCTGGTTTTTACTCTTCATGTCTCATTCTGGTTCGTTCTCTCTTTTATTTTTTCACTCTCACTTGTTCACTCTCCCTTTCACTCTCTTCAATATCTCCCATTCTCTCTCTCTCTTTCTTTTTTTCTTTCTTTCTCTCTCTCTCTCTCTCTCTCTCTCTCTCTCTCTCTCTCTCTCTCTCTCTTTTGTCACTATTGTTTTATTTTATTTTAGTACACATTCCTATTGAACATAATATAATATAATAATATATAATGTTAGATATTATCGTGTAAATATATCTTAGGCTAATGGATAATTTTCGTTATTATATAAAGCAGATTATTTAATGATTTTATAACGGTTATACGTAAGTTATAACCCATATTGGATATCAGAGATGTCCATGCAACCTAATTCTGCGTGGCTAAATTAAAAAGTTAAAACTATATCAATCAGTCAATCAATCAATCTCTTCCTCCTATTTCGATCAATGCCATTTATGGTCAAACGTTAAACAGTGAATAATAAAAAAAGCTTATTAAAATACTTTGATATGCTTACTTCTGGAGTAATTAAAATATTTGTTATTCAAATGAAAATTCTTTGAATAATTAATTCTATTTTTCAAGTCCACATACTTTTGTCTCACCCTGGTAATATTACCAGAATTATATAGAAGATATAATTACATGCATTGTAAGAGTTAAAAATAATGATGTTTAATTACGGTCAAACTCAGCTCTTTATATCGGAATAACAGGTAAAATTTAAACCTTGTCTCGTCGTTCAGTCGCGAAATGAAAACAATGAAATTTTCGAACATTATCGGGTTCGGCGTGGGCGAGACCCTCGAATTAAATATAAATAAGAGCGATATTGGGATGCATATATATATATATATATATATATATACACATATTTTGGGGGAATTTAGTATATTCTAACCGTATACGAAGCCGTTATACGTCTCTCACTTTCGTTATTGCATTACATATGCAGCAATTTGCTTGCCTACATTGCATAGCTTGTCATTAACCGAACCGGTGGAAACGTCAATATCAGTTCTGATGATACAGTCTGTTAAAAATGGAAATTATTCCGTTCGACTCTCTTTCGTTGTAACAACTGTCATTTACGACATTTTGTCAAATTGGTCCAACCAAAAAGGCTATTTGAAGTTTTAACGACAAAATCTTTTAATGGACCTCAATTTTCACGTGAATCCGTTGCAAGTTTACCTCGAATTTGTTTCACAGACCGATCGGCGAACTTATCGACGGAATAGAAAAACAAATGAATATTGTTTGCCTTTGAATTTTATGTTAGCGGAATTCGGTTTTATCAAGGGAAGATGCCGCCCCTTCGAAGGTTTGCCCTTTAGTGTAAGGTGATGCAATCTTAGACGTACCCAAGGGACGGTTGAAGGGATGCACATATACAGCTTAGGATCTCGGCTAGGCTCCTATCTTTATTCTTTGTATCTCGTGAGAAACATCGTATGACTCTTTGTTGCCCCTCTACCCTAAGGGCGGTTTTTCTATCTAATTTATTGGGCATTCCAGAATCGATTCCCTTAGTTTTCTCTTATAAAAAGAAGGGATCTTCTTCGACATTCGGGTAATTTTCAGTGCTGAGGGTTAAATAGGGGGCTTATCAGTAAACGAACCTCCAGATTAAATCTATTATGGGCTTAAAATGGTTTCGACGATTTACACGAATATCTTTCTCCCACTCTCATTTTCCATTTTATGCAATTGCTTTAAACTCTTTAAATCTTGTTTTTCCTCC